AGCAATTCCGTGCATATCGTCGCTCGTCATCCGCGGGACGCATTAGCGACGGGAGCGTAATTGAATTCCCGAAAACGAGGCGCGGGAGAGAGGATTCCCGTGACTGTGGCGTGAAAACGTTTCACGCGAGGTAAAGAAGGCCGCAATTATACAGTCGTTACTTCCACAAATTACATCGCGAGGCGAACCTATCGCGTGGAATCTACCCTTCCTGGTCCTCCCGTTGATCGTCGGTGCAATTATTACAGGGACGCGAGGGGCTGGAGGAACGGCGGTCAGAGAGAACGTGGTCCCCGTTCCTGTTAACCTATGATTCACCTCTTAATGCGGCTCCTTCTGCTCGATTATTACGGCCACGAATTAAATGAATATGTACACGAAACTCGGACTAACTCGATTTATACTCGTTTACTACGCTGCCTCGAGTATTTTCGTCCACCGACGACGCGCAGACGGCTCTATAGACGTCTAGGTGGCTCGATCATCGTGGAATGTTTTTTCCCCATGATTCACGTTCTGGGATTCCTTCCTAGAATCGTTTCGTCACGATGATCTTAACTTTAATTCGGTTAAACTTCTACTGGATAGAAATGTCGAATAAAAATCCAAAGATTGACATCAATATCTATGGCAATTTGTGGACTAAGATCGCGATGATTTAAGAAAAACTCGCATATCCGATATGTGAAATATATAGAGCATCATACTATGACGGGACGGTTTCAAACAGTGCGATAAATGGCTCTCAAGGCTATTTGTAACGCATACTGCCAAGATTGGCAGAAACGATGCCAAAGTTGGCAGAAATGTTGCCAAAATTGGCAGAAACGCTGCCAAGATTGGCAGAAACGATGCCAAAATTGACAGAAACGATGCCAAAGAGGAACTACACCACGAGAGATTGGAGTCCCGATCTTCCAACAGTCGAAGCAATTCGTGTATCACGAATCGCGTTGATTTGGAAGAGAATGCTCGGTTGGAATAGGTTAATTAAGACCGGCTGCATGGCGGGCGAAGGAAACAGAAGCGAGCAAGAGGCGCGCGTTCTTCGAAATTTTCGAGTGCACTCGTTGCACTCGAGACAACGCCGTTAGAAAAGGGCAAGACAAAGGCCCGCTGCGGAGCATTCACCGACGCGTTGTTCGCGGCACTCGTGCGATCCTGAAGACCGGCAGGAAGTGGTCTTCGCCC